AAGCCCTTCTGAATTTTTCTTTCTCTCTTCAGTATTCAGAATATGTCTGTCCTATAAAATTACATTTGGCAGCTTGTTTTCTTTGCGTCCCTCTAATATTCACCAAGATTATATTTATTTGACTTTACTGTCAGAGTGTACTTTGGGGGAGAAAAAAGTGATTACTTTTCTTCTAATGCTGTTGTATAAATGCTATGGCAATCTAGTACCTCTTACACACAAGGATATGCCCAGGTCTTAGGAAAAACTCACTTGCACATATATGTGTTATTGGGCCCCGTAAGCAAATGATATTTTTATTTTCTGTTCTGCAACTTTGTGTACAACAATAATATAAAGTAGCTTCCCAGGGATATAAAATACTAAGAAACTGACGAATCTGTATTTACTTACCTTGCCGTACATCCTGCACATTCTTTTTCTTCAAATTCATTTTCATTTTCGTTCGATCTTTCCTTTCCTTCAGATTCAATAACTTTGCAGGTGGTGTTCTCCTGAATCAGGTGCCAAAACAGAGTCTGAGTTTCAAGGTGAGTATTAGGAATCAAGCCCTGTGGAAGACACAGGGAAGCTGAGCTGTGAGGACGGCCCACAGAAGCCTCCCCAACCCCACAGGGAGCTCTGGAATGAATACTGTTCTGTCCACCAGAGTTGGGCCCCAATTAGCAAACATGGCCAGGCTTTTGCACCCCCACCTCACTTAGCATCAGGCTGTGTGGGTTGCCCCAGGAAGGGGTCGACTCAAAGAAGAGGACCCTGAGGAGAAAGACAGTGAAGCTATCTGCCAACCCTACTCCCTGCAGCTGGGCAGTGAGGCCTTCCTTGCTCACATTCTTGGTGGAAAATCTCCCTGTTGATGACTGTGGCATGAATTTTCCCCATAGCTCACACGGTGCTCTTTCTTTCTTACAATCTATGTCATACAAGCTGTGCTTTTGCATGCAAACAGGGACTATTTACTGATGCACATACTCTGTCTTCTCAGTAGAGAATTTACCAAAACACAAAGGAGCTACCTCAGCATCCATAATTTGCATGTGACACTGAACCTCCAAGGAGCTGACCCATGAAGAAGAGGCATGGCAAATTAAGCGCCCTAACTCTTAATTTCCAGAAACATTTCCATAGGGCTTTCAAATGTTCCTTTAGTTCCTTTTAAGAAGTAACAAAAGGGCCCATACTTGCATCCTCAGGAAGAGGAGGGAAAGTGTCTTCTTCCCCCACCCTGCCATAAGATAATTCCCTGACTCTATGCCCGCATCACTTCAGGTCCTCTGAGAAGCAGACCCCCACAGGGAAATTGACACATGAACAGCGTATTGGAAAAAATTCCTGTGAAGGATAAACAGAGCAGCAGGGAAAGACTTCAGTGTACAATGCAGTATCGATACCTGAGAAGGACCAGAGGAGGGGGACTGGATGAGCCTGAGAGCACAACACAGCTCTGGGAAAGCCTTGGCCAGGCCGACGCACAGCTCCAATATAGAGATGGTCCATTAGAGGGAGCCCTGGGACAATCCGATTCTAGTTCACTTACTTATGCTCAGTAATAGTCTGGAGACAGCCTAGAAGTCATGCACCCTCTGTATGAGTGCTCTTGTGGGTCCTGAAGGTGCAGCAGCAGCTGGATACTATCAGCTGATAGATATGAATGGTTGTTTTCAGAAGGGACATGAGCAGTATACTCCTGGGACTGCTACAATATGCTTACTATTACAGCACCAAATCCTCAAGAAGGGGTTCATAATTGTTTCTGGTTGGGCTGCCACATAAAACAAACAAACAAAAAACCCATAGACTGGGGGGTTTAAACAACATTGATTTTTCACAGTTCTGAAGGCTGGAAAGTCCAAGATCAAGGCAGTAACATACTCACTGTCGAGTAAGGAGCTGCTTCTTGGTGTGCAGATACCTGTCTTTCTCTTTTTTTCTTTTCATTTTTTTTTTTTTTTTGAGATGGAGTCTCACTCCGTCATCCAGGCTGGAGTGCAGTGGCATGATCTCTGCTCACTGCAAACTCTGCCTCCCCGGTTCCAGCAATTCTCCCTGCCTCAGCTTCCCAAGTAGCTGAGATTACAGGCTCCCACCACCACACCCGGCTAATTTGTGTGTGTGTGTGTGTGTGTGTGTGTGTGTGTGTGTGTGTGTGTATGTATTTAGTAGAGACATTGTTTCGCCATGTTGGCCAAGCTAGTCTTGAACTCTTGACCTCAGGTGATCCACCTGCCTCGGCTTCCCAAAGTGCTGCGATTACAGGTATGAGCTACCACGCTTGGCCTGTTCATCTTTCTCATTGTACCCTCACATAGCAGAGAGCAGAGAGACAGAAAGCAAGTGTTCTGGTGTCTGTTTACAAAGACACCAATCCCATTCATGCAGGTTTCATCCTTATCGCTTAATCACATTCCAAAGGCCCTACCTCCTAATACTATCATATTGTTGGTTAGGATTTCAACATATTAATTTTAAGAGAACACAAACATTCAGTCCACAGCAATAGTGAACTTAAAAGAACACATTAAGAAAGTTTTTTTAAATTTCTCTTTTATACCTGCTTAATTCCTGATCCTAAAGAAGGGTCTCCAAACACACTCCTCAGATTGATACCTGATTCAATGGAAACTTAAATCAACAGATCAGTAAAGAAATAGCATCTCTTTTTCTTTTTTTTTCTCTTTTTTTTTTGAAACTGAGTTTCACTCTTGTCGCCCAGGCTGAACAATGGCGTGATCTCGGCTCACTGCAACCTCCACCTTCTGGGTTCAGGCGATCCTCCTGCCTTGGCCTCCTGAGTAGTTGAAACTACAGAGGCACACCATCATGCCTAGCTAATTTTTTAAATTATTTTTAGAAATGGGGTCTTCCTATGTTTCCCAGGCTGGTTTCAAACTCCTGGGATCAGCAGATCCTCCCACCTCCCAAAGTGCTTATATTATAGGTTTGAGCCACCATGCCCAGCAGAAATAGCATCTTAACCACTGGAATGAGTTAAGCATTTTTAACCACTGTGACACTAGTGAGAACTCAACACCACCTCAATTATATAAAATTACAAAAATATTTAATGTATAGTGACTGTGGGCCAGATATGCTGCAGGATCAGCCAAACCAAGTTAAATTAGGCGAAATCTTGACAGGTCTGTAGGGTTTGACATCCTTGATAAATGAAGGATTGTATCTTGTTGCTGATTTTTGTGCTTCCAAACATTTCTATCTTTTCATTTAGTATGTTACTATAATATTTCTCTTTGTTTCTGTCAAAGCAATATCCATAGGTCAGGATACTGAAATAATGCATATAATGCATAAAATCTTGTGATGAAAAGATGCCTCTTCTGCCTTAATTCCATTCTTAAAGTGACTGTTTCTAAGCTCCTTTTTCTGATTATTCCTATCCATTTCTGTTGTACTCTTTTTGGTATTTCATTCAAATCTCCAAATATTATGTTTCTGCTACTGTCTCCAGAACTACCAAGTATCTCTTGCCTGTTTGCTATGTAAAACTCCACTAATATGTTACCAATGTGTTAGTAATGCAAAGCTGTATTAATTAAAAATGTGTGCAGTTTTCAAAAATACCACCTTGAAAGAGTTTCAGTACTATCCCGGGGGAAGGTCAGAATGTATCTCTCTAGGGTCTTGGGATCTACATGGGAGCCTAAGCAGTTGAGATTGGGCTTTAATTGTTACATTGTGAGATGAAGGTCTTACAATGGTTCTGGGTAAGAAATTTTTGTTTGATAGGCAAAATGTTTCCCCAGGTGAGCCAATGAGCCAACTCTTGTCTCAAAATAATTGACTTGCTGGAATTTCCTGATGGCAATAGTAAAATTATTCATTGAATAATCTTGTTTTTCTCAGGCAAAGTTTCTCTGGTACAAACAAGTAAGTCATGCTGGCAAAGGTCGTCTTGGGCTTTTTGCCTTAATAGTGAGGTAATGTTGATGCAGGTGGCTGTGGTTCTCAGCTTCGTGGGTATTTAGCCCTTGTAGCTCCCACTACTATCTTCCTTTCTTACCTCTTTTCGGTAGTTATATCCCCGTTTTTAAGTTACCTTGTAATTATATTCAGTAACTTGAAATAGCTTTCATCACTCGGCCTATTCTATTCTAGCCATTTCAGCCCTTGACTCTCAATCTGTAAGATAAGTTATTAAAACCTCTAGTTTTTCTAATTTTCTTCCCTCTTCCTTCCTACCAATTTCCATCAGCTGGGCTGTGTGCCAAGGTGTAAAACATTTGCATTATGCTTTTAACCATAATTACATTTTCTGAGCTGTCAGTAATGATTGAGTCAACAACTTCAAAATAACAAGTTGTATTTACATGAATATAATAAGAATGGTACTTTTATACAAACATTTGACTATGTATGGGGCACATATTTAAGTTCTCTCTGCATATTGATTTCAGCCTAATACTAGACACTGTTACTAGCTCAATTTTCCAAATGAGGAAACCGGGGCACAGAAAGGTCTAGTATCTTGCCCCCAGTGGCTTGCTGACTACCCTTTTAAAATGCCATGCCTTTCTTCTCTGCCCTAGGCACCCTAATTCTGCCATGCCTCCGATTTGTTCATTTCACAGGGGTTTTTCTTACTCTGGGCCATCCCAGAGGCTGATCTCAGTGTTTTGAACTTCTCCCAACTCTTTACCGCAACGGTTCCTACTTACCATGCAGATATCAGCTAATACCAGTTCCTCAGAGAGATCTTCTCTAACACCGTATCAGAAGGTTCTTCTTCTTCTTCTATTTATTTATTTATTTTTTTTTTTGAGACAGTCTCACTCTTTCGCCTAGGCTGGAGTGCAATGGCGCAATCGCAATCTTAGCTCACTGCAACCTTCACTTCCCAGGTTCAAGCAATTCTACGGCTTCAGCCTCCCAGGTAGCTGGGATTACAGGCACCTGCCACCATGCCCAGCTAATTTTTGTATTTTTAGTAGAGGCAGGGTTTCACCCTGTTGGTCAGGCTGGTCTCAAACTCCTGACCTCTGGAAATCCACCCACCTCGGACCTCCCAAAGTGCTAGTATTACAGGTGTAAGCCACGGCAACCAGCCAGAAGATTCTTCTATTGTCTCTCTCATAGCTTCCATTATGTTCTTTCCTGGAAGTCGGTGTAATTTGTAAATACCTAATTCTTTCTGTGTGCATCAGTATACCGCCTCTTTTTCCTTCTTGACAATGAGATGCATGATGTCTTATTTACCTTAGTATGCTCATCGTCTAGGATAGTGCTTGACACTTAGGAATTAATTACTTTTCTTCACAAGTAATGGACTTTAAAGGCTCAAAAACATAATTTCACTGTCTAGTTAAATATAAGGCTATTATAATGAAAATACTATTATTGGTCATTCAGTGAAGAATGGTGGAATAAATTTGCATAAAATCTAAGATCCACAATAGAAATTAATTTTTAATGCATCTAGACATTCACTTGCTTTCCTGAAATTTGACTCATAGAAGTGTGATAAATAAAGGACAGGAAAATAAGCTTCTGGACCATAAAGCAGAACAATAATAATCATCCACATTTGTTAAAGGTCTTGGCACATTGAAATATTTTTACAATGCATTTTATTCCATTAATCCCTTCCAGTGACATTATAATATCATAAAGTACCTTATTCAGGATTGCACAAACTACATGTGGCAGGAAGAAAACACGGTTTTTGTTTTCTCTGTCCCATGCTCTTTCTTTGGAGTTTTGCTCTTGTTGTCCAGAATGGAGTGCAATGGCACAATCTTGATTCATTGCAACCTCTGCCTCCCAGGTTCAAGCCATTCTCCTGCCTCAGCCTCCCAAGCAGCTGGGATTACAGGCACCTGCCACCACACCCAGCTGAATTTTGTATTTTTAGTAGAGACAGCGTTTCGCCATGTTGGATAGGCTGGTCTCGAACTCTTGACCTCAGGTGATTCACCCATCTCAGCTTCCCAAAGTGCTGGGATTACAAGCCTGAGCCACTGTGCCTGCCCTATGTCTGGTGTTCTTACTCAGAGCTCCCCACCTTCCCCTTTCTAAATTCAAATTCTGAAGCAGCATTCTCTAAAGGACTGTCTTGCCTTTAACAATGGAAATGTTTTCCTGTTACTATCAGTCATTTTGACTTGTCTGTAGCATTTAAAACATTCTCATTTCAACAATTGTAACTTTGATCTCTTAGTCATGTATCTGGTAAAGAACAAATAAATTATTCAAACAACATAGTGTTCAGTGGTGAGCACAATTTTTTTCAGGAGATTTAGCCAATATCTGGGAAAAGCTTCATGGAAGAGGAATTGGAGTGGAGCCTTGAAATCACATTAGGAAGCTTAGATGAGGGAGCAGCTGAGTTTCTAATTCAGGATACTTTCACTGAGGAGCATTGGCACTTGTGTATACTCTTAGGAAACTACCACAGTAGATTGCTACAGTGTGTTTATATTTTAGAACATTCATTTACTCACTCATTGATGCATTCCATAAAGAGCTGTGCAAAAAGGATTTTATTTCCTAAGAGATTCAAACCCTTTGAATCTACCTTTGTACTTATTATCATCCTATATATGAGATTGCGTTCAATAACTATAGTTTTGCTGCTGCATTTCTTGGTTGATTTTGGACTTGGGCTACAAGATCTATTCTGTCTTAAGCCACATTTCCTAGAAGTAGAATCTGAGGTGGGAATTTGAGTGTAAATGATTTCTTGGGGGGAGTGTTCTCGAGAAATAGAGTGAAGGGAGCAAATGAAACAGAGGGAAGAACTCAACAAGGTTGTATGCTCAGAAGGAAAGCTTCAGCTGATGCCAGGGAAAGCCTGGGGGCACTCACTGTACCACAGAGTCTGTCCCACCTGAGGCATGGGGGCTGGCCCATTGCACATCCTTGCAAGTCACTCTTTGGCAACTGGTTCCTAGGAGAGAAGAGGACAGTTGTGAGCCATCAACAGCCAACACTCTCAGCATCTGGGGGCATGGATGCACAGCCTAGCACAGGGAATTGGACTTGGACGTCAACAAAACTTGGTACACTTTCCATGTAAGTGCAGGGATTCATCCTTTAAAATGTGAGAAATTCACTTACCTCTCAGAAATATCAACCATCAACCTCAGAATGACACAGCACCATAATTATAAATCTAATAAGTATAAGGTAAGGTTAGGATAAGCATCTTTATGTTTGAGCGATAAGTCACGTATGTGTCAATGCAGTCTTACACAAATTGCACCATATTATTAGTTTCATTTTTAAATGTTCAAATTGGCATATCCCTCTTCCCACTTCATTCATATATCCCATAGTTTTTTCAATTACACTTAAGCAGATTATCATACAGGGATAAGCATTTGGGAGTTCCACAGAAATGTGAGCAGATATGCAATTGCAGGAAGCTGAGGAGGAAAAATGGCCTAAATGAAGACCTTCCAGTTATCCCCAGTCACGAGAGTTTACTTGAGATGAAATGAGACATTTGATTAGGAAATAAAGGTAGAGCCTCAATCATGATAGGCCTTGAGTAATATAAAAATAGTTTCACTATTATCTTAAGGAAAATAAGTGCTAGGTTCCTTGAGCTGCTCTTACAAATTACCATAAACTGGGGAGCTTGAAACAACAATTTATTCTCTCACAGCTCTGGGGACTAGAAGTTTGCAATCAAGGTATCAGCAGGGCTGCATTCCCTCCAGAGGCTCTAAGAAAGAATCAATTCCTTACCTCTCTCAGCTTCTGATGACTGTGGGCAATCCCCAGCTGTCCTTACTTCTTTCAGCTTCTGATTACTGTGGGCAATCCCCAGCTGTGAGCGGATCTCTCTCGGCTCTATCTTCACATTGTCTTCACTGGGAATCTGTCTCTGTTTTTCTGTTATAAAGATAGTTGTGATGGTATTTAGGACCCACCCTGATAATCCAGGATAATCTTCTCATCTCAAAATGCTTAACTTAATTTCATCTGCAAAGACCCTTTTCCCAAGGGTCCCATGCACAGGTTTTCAGGATGGGGATGTGGATATATCTTTGGGAGTCATTATCAGCCTACCATAGTGGAAAATGTATAAAACTATTTAAATCAAAGCCCCAGTATGATCAAATTTATGTTTTAGAGATTTAAAAAAAACCTCCACAGGCATTGTAGAATATGAATTAGATGGAGTTTATACTAAGGTGAGGAAACCTCACAGGAGGTCTGGTCAATCGTTCAGATGACTAATGGTGAGAGATTGTATAAAGACATTGGTCTTTGGGAAGGAGAAAAGTGGCCAAAGATATAATTGGCAGCATGAAGGGATAAATTACTATACGGGTGAGAGAGATCTAGGAGACAATGATGATTCTCAGGCTTCTAGACTGTGTGACTGCAGGATGGTCTTTTGTTCATTGAGGTGGGTCATATACAGAGGAGGACCAGGCCTGGCAAAAAAGGATTGTAGGTTCCATTTTGGTAGAGGTACAGGAGATATTTAGCAGAAGAGGAGACAAACCAGTGTGGTCCAGAAGATGGCTCTCATACTTTCCTCTGTTTCCAGTTTCCAACTTAGTTGGAAAAATAATTGCAAGTTTACAATGACCCAACACATTGACACATGACTGACATGTCTCTCTATAGAGTGATAAACACATGTCCTATAATGTAGAAATTATTTCCTATGTTTCCTTCTTAGGTTATCAGGATATTGCATCTTGGTGCCAAAATTCTACATTAAACAGAGGGAGGTGTATTGTACATGTAGCGCACAGCTGTATTGATCCCTGGCAGCCTACTTATGATTTTTGGATGGGTGAATTGCAATGTGACTGTAAGATACGCAAGTGGAGATGTCTAAGACACACCCAAGTGTTCGGTACCTGCCAATGTCATCTAAAGACATTTTTTAAGAATGCACATTCCATTGTAGCAGCTCAAAAGTCAATAAAACCCCTAATACATATTTGGAAGAGTTTAAGGAGATAAAACAAAACAGAACAAAACAAAAAGCACCTTCTGTTCTCCTCCCTAACTTCAACTAAGGAAAAAGACGTAAGAATCGATTGGATAAAAATCAAAATATTGCTTCTATTACCAATAAAGCTGGATTTGATAACATAAATTATGTGTGAATTAACATAATTCCTAATAATTCTCTGAAGTATATTCCTTGAGACAACCTGAAAACCAAAAGAGAGTTTGGGTCTTGAAGCAGACACATTGGAATCTCCTTGGAACACTTGTAACACGTGTTCCCCTTCCAGCTTTAATGGGTTTTGCTTGGAACTCCCAGCACATGTGGCTCTTCTGTAGCGAACTTCCTTGGGCTGCTGGACCACGTTGCATGGTCTTACAGAGGCAGAAGTACCCGGAGCAGCCTTTGATCAATGGCAGAGGACTTCGGAAGAAATAAAAGTCCAGCTTCCGCATGGTGGCGTGTGCCTGTAGTCCCAGCTACTTGGGAGGCTGAGGCAGGAGAATTGCTTGAATCCAGGAGGCGGAGGTTGCGGTGAGCCGAAATCGTGCCACTCCACTCCAGCCTGGGTAACAAGAGCTGGGTAACTCCGTCTCAAAAAAAAAAAAAAAAAAAAAAAAAAAAGTCCAGCTTCCTCAAACCCAGAACAACTTTGACGTGGAACTCACAGTCAGTCCTTGGTATTCCTGTGGGCACTTCCCTTCTGGGGACTCAACTCTTGCTTGACTTCCTTCTATGTCTGTCCTGCTTCTCCTCCTCTCTTCCTGGCTCCCCTATGTGCCTTACCTATGTAAATGGTGTGTGTATGCCTTCCCGTCTCAGGGTTTACTTCTGAGAAACCCAACCCAACTCTGAGCCCTAGACCAGATGAAGTTCCTCAGAGTTCTGGCTTCAACTTTGGCATCTACAAACAGCTCCACTTTTTCAGGCTAGGCCTTTCAATTCCAAAGCCTTCTAGATGTCACTTCTAAACTGGCAAGATTTCCACCCTGTCAAGCTGAGTGCATTCTCTTTTGGAAATCATAAAAGCATCACAGATGGCCTTATGATATAAATAATTAGTGATGAAGACAATTATTGCTCATCTGTGATGAATCAAGCTCCTTTTTATTTAGTCAGCAACAAGCTGGACATAGTCATTATATAGCCCTTGGGTCTGTGCAGCACACAGTTTATATGTTTGTCCTGTATTTTTGCCTCATGGGGTCATGTGCTAAATATTTACATGAAATGTCACTATCATATATACTCTCAGACTATCAGTTTCTATGTTAATATTTTTCTTGGCAATTGGTCACAGGCTCTGCAAGCAAAACTACAGCCTATATATATAATAGCTTTACATTTCAGTACTTTTCTTAATGTCTCATAAAAAGAAATTGTTCCTCTGACAATTTAAGATACCCAAAAAAGCCAAACAAGTTTCAACATCTTCTTTAATGACTTCTTGTTGTTTTGATTTAGTTTTATGAAAACCTCTAATTTCATCACTCTCTCTGACCTTTATTGATTTAAACTGGCATGATTACCCTTTATAACTCAGTAAGTTTGCTTCAGAAGCACACACAGTCATGTGTCACTGAACAAGAATACATTCTGCAAAATACATAGGCAATTTCATCGTTGTGTGAACATCAGAAAATGTACTTACACAAACCTCTGATACACCTAGGCTATATGCTATAGCATATCACTCTTAGGCTACAAACTTGTGCAGTATGTTACGTGCTGACTACTATAGTCAATTGTGACATAATGGCAAGCATTTGTGTATCTAAACATGTCCAAATATAGAAAAAGTACAGTAAGAACACTGTATTGTAATCTTATGGGACCACTATCATATGTGTGGTCTACTGTTGACCTAAACGTCATTATGCAGCTAATGAAAATACATAAAGATTTTCTTAGGTAAGACAATCAGTAGAGAACGAACTGGACTAGGAGTCAGAGAACCCAGCTATCGTTCTGTATCTGCTTTAAATTGTTTAATGACCAAGAAAAAATTACCTAACTTTTAACTTTGTTTAATCAACTTTTGAAAAAATTATTTTTGCGTCATGATTTCCAACATCTACTTTAGCTACCAAGTTTTCTGACTCTCTAGAGCTTTAAACATACCTGATTGGACCAAATACACATCTGCCTTTGAAAAAATATTACTAATTAGCATTTATATTATTGGTTCTCAAAGTGTGATCATTGAATTAGCAATATCAGCATCAGCTGGGCATTTATTAGACATACAAAATATAGGCCCCATCCTAGATCTACTGAATCAGAAACTCTAGGGATGGGGCTCGGCATTGTGAGGTCTGTCAAACTTTGAGACCCATTGATTTATACAGGTCAAAAACAATCATCATGGTAACAGGAACTGAGTTTTGCCAGCAAGAGTGAGTAGCCTTCCAAATTACTCAATGTAGCTTCCCAGTGGCCACCCAGGAGATTTTGATTCAATAGATTTGGAAGTGCTTCCAGGAAACTACATTTTAAATAAACAATATAGGAGATTTCAAGGACCAACTTTAGACAGTGATTACCTTAAGACAGTGACTGAGCTGCTGGTCCACCTCTCTGACAGGTGTCACAGAGTGAGTACTCAAGAGCTAATTAATGGAGGAAGGAAAAAAAGAGCAGGAGGAGATAAACAGAGCAAGAGAGAGAGATGCATGTCATGTCAGTGTCATTTCCTCAAGGCTGGGAAATCAAGAACAGTATCAGAGCCCCAATTTGTTACATGTTTGTTGCTACAATATCAACTCTCACTGAATTCCTTGAGTACAAGTGACCTGAGTATTTTTTATGTGCAGTCAGTCCTTGGTATCCATGTTTTCAGCATCCCCAGATTCAACCAATTGTGGATTGAAAATACTCCGGAACAAAGAAAATGAACAATAACAATACAACAATTAAAAAACAATACAATAAAAAATACTATATGACAAGTATTTGCCTAAGATTTACATTGTGTTAGGTTATTATAAGTAGCCTAGAGATTTAAAGTATACAGAAAGATGTATATAGGTTATCTGCAAAAACGACATCATTTTGTTTAAGAACATTAAGTATGCATAGGTTTTGATATCTGCAGGGTCCTGGAACCAATCCCCCACAGATACCATAAGATAACTGTATTTTTGCTTAAGTTACAAGATGAAACAAGGCAACACTAAAACATCCTACTCATTATGGAGCAAAGGATAGGCTATATTGGGTGTACATAAACGATAAGGTTCAAGGAAAAGAAGTATATGAACCTCTATTCTCCCTCATCTCACAGAAAGGGACAGTATTCCTGAGGAGAGCCACTATGCATGCAGTAGGTTTGCATTTTGAGAGAGAAACACTGTTCACCTCATTTCTGCTACTCTATTTTCTTATAGTACAAGTGTGAAAAAGCACACATGTAAATGAGGAGAAAAAAATTGGAATTTAGAAAGTGTCTGAACTTACAGAATGTGATAGTTTTCAAATATGTTCACTAATTGTCACTCCACTTTTTTTTTCTTCAGCTTTTAAGTTCAGTGGTACATGTGCAGGATGTGCAGGTTTGTTACACAGGTTGACATGTCCTATGGTGGTTTGTAACACAGATCATCCTCATCCTCATCCTCTCACCCAGGTATTAAACCCAGCCTCCATTAGCTGTTCTTCCTGATGTTCTCCCTCCCCCACCTCCCAGCAGGCCCTAGTGTGTGTTGTTGCCCCCACGTGTCCATGTGTTCTTATAATTCAGGTCCCACTTATAAGTGAGAACATGCAGTGTTCCTGCATTAGTTTGCTAAGGATAATGCTTTTCAACTCCATCCATGTCCCTGCAAAGGACTTAATCTCATTCCTTTTTATGGCTGCATAGTATTCCTGGTGTACATGTACCACATTTTCTTTATTCAATCTATCATCAATAGGCATTTAGGTTGATTCCAAGTCTTCGCAATTGTGAATATGTCACTTTGCTTTTTAGAATGTGAAACTTAATGTCCCACTTTTTGAATTTCAAGGCTTAGTGACCCACTCCTACAAAATAGAATGTGGTGGATGACTGCAGAGATTAGGTCATAGAAAGCATTTCCTTCTGTGAAATGCTTCTGTAAAAGGCTTGATTGCTTCTGCTGAGATTTTTCACCCATTTGGGCATGGCAGCTCTCATGTTGTGGGAAAATGCAGGGAGTCTTTGGGAAGGTTTTGTGGAGAAGTACTGAGGCCACCTGCCAACAAGCAGGCTCAACCTGCCATCCATGTGAATCAGCCACTTTGGAAGTGGATCTTCCAGCTTCAGCCAGTCTTCAGATAACTAAAAACAAGACTTCAGATGAACTAATATCTATGATCTCTAGGAAAGATGACCACTTGGCTCTGAAAACCTTTGCACAGTTGCTGCAAATGGAAGGACTTCACAGGAAGCATGAGCGGTGAGATTTGGACAGGCTCTGCCACTGGAGTACAGGCAGTGCCTGGTCCTGCCAAGCCATTGTCAGGAAGTCAGAAAGAGCTCCCAGGATCATTCTAAAAATCTTGTTCATCTCTTCACATATAGCAAGCTCAGTCACAAGGCAAACGCTACCAAACCCTGATATTTTGCCTTGAAACCACCTGAACATGGCATATGGTCTGAAAAGAATAGAGAAGAAATAGGAACTTCTAGGAATTTATACTGTGGCTAGTTCTCTTGGCTCTTTAATTATAGAGGTATTGTATATATTGTGCTTGAAGTAGTTTAAAGCCACATACCACAGGTGAAAGTAAACGACCAAGCCTTAGTCACTCAAAGGCATCACTTGCATTGTTCACAGCAGATTCTTGGCAAAGACATGTCATGCTAGTGGCCCCCCAGTGATGGGATAGAGCACAAACCATCTGAACACGGAAGATCCACAAGATGGGATGGTCATCTGTGAATGTATCCAGAGCAGTGGGAAATTCTCTAGAAATCAGCAATAGTGACACCTTTGATTGACAATGGCTGTTCAACAACACAAAGCAAAAACAAAAACAAAAAACAAATCATTTGATCAAAAATGGGCAGAAGATCTGAATAGACGTTCTTGGAAGAAGACAGACAAATGGCTAACAGATGTATGAAAAGTTACTCAATGTCACTAATCATCAGAGAAATGCCAATCAAAACCACAGTAAGATATCATCTCATCTCAGTTAGAATGGCTATTATCAGAAAAACAAACAAAAAAATTAAACAAATGATGGTGAGTATGTGAAGAACTCCTCTTATACACTGTTGGTAGGAATACAAACTAGTCCAGCCATTATTTAAAACAGTATGGAGTTTCCTCAGAAAAATTGCAAATATAACTATCATATGATCCAGTAATCCTACACTGGGTATCTATTCAAAGGAAATGAAATCGTTATGTCAAAGAGATAACTGCACTCCCATGTTTATTGCAGCAGTATTTACAATAGCCAGGATATGGAATCAACCAATAACAAATAAATGAATTTTTAAATTTGATATATATATACAATCAAATATTATTCAGTCATGAAAAGAATGATATTCTGTCATTTGTAACAGCATGGGTGAACCTAGAAGACATTATGTTAAGTGAAATAAGCCAAGCACGAACAAAAAATATGGCGTGATCTCATTCATATGTTGAATCTAAAAAAGTTGATCATGTAAAAGTAGAGAGTAGAACAGTCCTTACTAGAATCTGAGAAGAGTAAGGAGGAGAAGGAATGGAGAAAAGTTGGTCAATGGGTACAAAATTACAGTTAGACAGGAGGAGTAAGTTCTGGTGTTCTATTGCACAGCAATGTTTGATGGTAATTAGCCATACTGTATTGTATATTTCAAAATATCTAGGAGAGGATTTTTAATGATCTTACCATAAAGAAATGACAAGTATTTGAGATGACAGAAGTACTAATTTCCCTGATTTAATCATTACATAATGTATGCATTATCGAAACATCATGATGTACCTTATAAATATGTACAGTTACATATCCATTAAAGACAAAATAAAGCAAAAAATAAACAACTGTCATTTTGAATGTGGCAACAGGAGACTTCAACATAGCAATTCAGAAGATAAGATCAATGGTCAATGCAATTTCAGCCATTGTGCTTCCCCGAGCCTTCAGAGCAGCTAAGCAAGTCCTGAAGAGGATGGAGTTCCTGAGTTGGTTGTCTCTAGCAAGAACCAACCACTTTTATGTACTCCAAACCAAGGGTGTGTTCTGTATCAGTTAGGATAAGCTGGGTCACACTTTTGATTATTAACAGAGATTAAACCTTTGTTATCTATTTCTTGACTGTGACATATTGGTTGAGCATTCTGGTTCACATAATTGGCTGTCAGAGATGCAAGCTTATAAATCCTCCACCACCTTGAACATTGCTAATTGCTACAGCACAGGTAAGGAAACTTGGCAAATCATGCAGTAGCTCTGAAAGCTTTAGCCTAGAAGTAACATACTTTCAATGGCTAAAGTAAGTGACTTGTGATGCCTACCTTCAGGAGAACAGAACATACAAGCCTTCAATGTGTGCAGAAGGAGAAAACCTGAAATATTGACCAGCATGAATGATTAACATGCCTATAAATGTTGACACTGTCTATGTGATGTAAAAAAGCCTAGGAAGCTCTGGTCTGTATCTCTTGTTAAGAAGAAGTAACAGTTCCCAAACTCTACTAATCATCAGATGGTATCCCCTGGGTGATGGATACAATTTTAAAATGTTTTCAATGTGGGTTGGGTAAATAGAGATATATAAGAATAAGTATATAGCTTGCCCTTTACCGATGTGATCAAATAAAAACAAAACTCACTCTCTACAATGACCATTTACATAGCTCTTTATATCTTTTTATCACATTTAGGTAAAGTAAAACATATAGGCTTGTAGGCAATGAGTAGTTTAGACATCACAGTTAGAAATAAAACACTTTTTCTTCCCTCCTCTGGTTTCCATGAAGGGGTATTTTCCCTGAACACATCTCAACCCTTGCCCAACTCCTCATTCAAGAAAAGCAGAATGACTTAATCAGAATCTGACTTTGGATGAAGACCAGGTGTGCATAGCTCAGCTACCTCCCTTCTCATCTACCTTACAGCCAGATTGCCTGCATGAAATAATGGCCCAATACTCTTCTCCAGAATCTCCTGGAGATTTTACAGTGATATATCTGCAATTGGGGAACTTGAGATAGTTGGGATGCCTATGGCTAAGGTTTGAAATCTGGTTTTGTGGTTCCGTAATAGGACACCCCCTTGTTTCTAGACATTTAGAACAATCTATTATTATCTGAAGTCTTCTTGATATTTTGATTCCTATTTTTTCAATTTCTTAGACTATCTCTAAATGAGTTTCCAGCTAGGGTGAGCAATATTAGGACTCTTATTTACTGGGTATCTCAACAACTCCTCTCCCCACAAACACCAGTACTGACTTCCAAGCAGCTCAGAACACTTCTGAAATCATTGTTATTAAAATGTTTCATTGATTATCATCAATAAATAAACTACTTATTGATCCACTATATCCTACTTATGAGGCAAGAAACAAGTGTGAGATATGAGCCCACCTCAAAAAGAACTGACAATCTGGGATGTCTCTCCTTGTAAGAAAAAAAAACCTGCAATTTTATCAACCAAAATGAAAGCATCACATTTTTTGTGTCCTATAACTGATTCTACTTATTCTATAATTCCGTTTTTGCCAATGCAAACAGAGACTTTCCATTTGACAGTAATGTATTTCCTTGATTAAAAAGTCTTTATTCATTTATCAATGGGGTTATTTGTTTTGGCTTGTTGATTTATTTAAGTTCCTTATAGATTCTGGATATTAGGCCTTTGTTGGATGTGTAGTTTGCAAATATTTTCTCCCATTCTGTAGGTTTTCTGTTTACTCTGTTAATAGCTTCTTTTGCAGTGCAAAAACTCTTTAGTTTAATTAGGACCCACTTGTTAATTTTTGTTTTTGTTGCAATTGCTTTCGGGGACTTAGCCAAAAATTCTTTGCCAAGGCCAACACTGAGAAGAGTATTTTCTAGGTTTTCTTCTAGGATTTTTATTCCACCAATAAACATGAAAAAGTGCTCAGCATCACTAATCATCAGAAAAAATGAAAATCAAAATCACAATAATATATAATCTCACAACAGTCAGAATGATTATTAATAAAAACTAAAAATAATAATAACATGCTGGCAAGGCTGCAGAGAAAAGAAAACTATTATACACTGTTGCTGAGAATGTAAATTAAGTTAGCCTCCATGGAAAGCAGTTTGGAAATTTCTCAAAGAACTTAAAACAGAACTCCCATTCAACCTAGAATACCATTTCTGGGTATACATCGAAAGGAAAATAAATCTTTCTGCCAAAAAGACACACGCACACATATATTCATCACACCATTCACAATAGCAAAGGCACGGAATCAACCTAAGAGCTCATCAACAGTGGAATCAAGAGTGCACTGGATAAGGCAAATGTGGTACATATACACCATGGAATACTAGAATGAAATAATGTCCTTTGCAGCAACATGGATGCAGCAGGGGCCCTTATCCTAAGCAAATTAATGCAGGAACTGAACATTGAATACTACATGTTTTTGCTTTTAAGTGTGAGCTAAACACTAAGCACACATGGACATAAAAATGGGAATAACAGACACTGGGGACTACTAAAGGGAGGAGGGAGGAGGGGGGCATGATTTGAAAAACCGCCTATTGGATACTATGCTTACTACCTAAATGATGGGATCCCTACTCCAAACTTCAGCATTGTGCAATATGCCTGTGTAGCAAACCTGCACATTTATTCCCTAAATCTAAAATAGTTGAAATTATTTCAAAAAATTTTTTAAATTGTCTTTAGTCTTTTCCATAGAAACATCCTATGAATTTAATGTTTGCAGTTCCTATAATGACTTTCACTTCCCCCTTCTTTCCTAGATGGCTTTTCAGTATAGAAAAAGAGTCTGTGTATAGTTCATATGCTCTTCTGTGGATTGTCCTGTGGTCCATATGTTGTTGTTTTCCTGCCTGGTACAGTCTGAGGTTTGCGATTGGTTCCATAGCACCTACTACTGCCAACCATAAATATTACCACTTACCTTCGATCATAAGGACTGTGCATTTTTGCAGCCTCTTCTGTTCTTTTCCTTTTTTTTTTTTTTTTGAGACGGAGTCTTGCTCTGTTGCCCAGGCTGGAGTGCAGTGGCACACTCGGCTCACCGCAACCTCCGCTTCCCAGGTTCAAGCAATTCTCCTGCTTCAGCCTCCCAAGTAGCTGGGATTACAGGTGCATGCTACCACCCCCAGCTAATTTTTGCATTTTTAAGGAGAGACGGGGTTTCATCACATTGGTCAGGCTGGTCTCCAATCCCTGACCTCATGTGATCTGCCCGCCTTAGTCTCCCAAAGTGCCGGGATTGTAGGCTTGAGCCATCGCGCCAGGCTGCAGCCTCTTTTTTTAAATGTCACACACCCATCGTCAGATTTTAGGGATGGTGAATGGCCATCAACTCAGACAAATCCACATGGAGTAACCTCAAGATCTCAGGGCAGGTATGATGCTGAATTCATGTGGTCCAGGATATCCTTTGTATGAAGTTTGTCAAGACTGTAGGTCTTTTGAAAATCCTCATGCTTTCTCATTTTGCCCACTCTTCTTTTTCAATTGTATTCATGGTAAATTCATTCATACCAAAATATAACAATTATGTTCAATATTTCTTCATTATGCAAATTACTTTCCAAAAATAATCACTGCAGATGTTTTGGTACCATCTTTTCAGACGACTTTAGTGGCTCTTTATTCATTCAAGAAATGGTATTTATTGCCTAAAAGGGATAGCAAAGACAGAGTTGAGTTTTTAAAAAATCAAATGAGTTTCTGGCTGGGACTTTATTTTTCATGGATTGCGAAGATATAGTATTGAAAATGGAGATATTGGAGTGTGAGAGCCATGCTTCTGAGAGAAAAGCAGACCTTTTGAGTTTAAAGCCTGGTTTTGAATATCAAAAGCTAAGGAGGCTGGAGGACTCAGAGGACAACATTGATACCAGAAGCAGTACCACAGGGAAGAATACATAAGGCTGTCAAAGTAATTTCCGGGGCTAGAGTTACTGTAAATTGTTGAGGGAGCAATGGGAACTCAGAAAAGTCAGTAAAAAGTTGGTTGCTGATGAGAATATTTGAGAGGTCTTTGAGTTTTTCCCCACCTATGGTGGAATTTTGCAGTGGGCCAGAACTCAACTAATTTCTCAGCTCATATAGGAGCCACTGGTGCCCACCCAAATTCCCTTTACCTGCAGAGGCCCCATTCCACAGCTGCTCCAAGTGTTGTTTGCTGAGGCCCTTAGCTAGTCCCTTCTCAGAGGATTGCCTTCACCCAATAGAAATTGCCCCTCCTGCGGTAGCACACTCCTCCACCTGTGCTTCCAAGAAGTAGCTTACTGTCAATAATTAACTGATGAAGGATACTTAAGGCCAGCCCCCTTGCCTCCAGATGAAAGAAGCCTGTGGTGCTATTCACTTTCCACAGCGACTCATGGAATCACAATGAGGCTGGACTTCAGCTAATACCACACCACTTTTTGTCCAAGTTCTTTCTCTTCTCCTCCTTGCTTCTCTCACTCCCTCACAGTAACACTTCAAAGTTATTATAAATTCAAAAAATTAACTTTATTCCTCTGTAACTAAATTTAGCTTTACATCAGTTTCTGCTGTTATCAGAAAACCTAATCTTGCTTAATCAAAGTAAATTCAGTCACTTCTGGTTTAAATTCTGTTAGGATTCCACTTCCGTCCCTGCTTCTCCCTATTCTGAGATTGGAGAATAGGGGTACTGGATATACACTTTTGTTGACTTATATTTTCTTCCATGAACCCACATGGGAAGCAGTACAGA